CCCCAAAACCCCAAAACCCCAAAACCCCAAAAAGATTTGCTCATTCTAATATTCTGATTATATCCACCAAAAATGAGTGAAGAAGAAAATGGAAAAACCCATTGTTTTTAGTGATGGTTCACTTGCTCCCAAAGAAGGACTTGAAGGAGAGAACCAATTAAGCTCAGTATTCTCATCTAATAATGCTAAACCAAAGATTAAGAAAGTAATTGCCGATAGAGACTGGGATACAAATATTGCTTCGTTGGAGACAAAGTCCGACAAAAGAGAGGTGCTTTATCTTGCCATATCCAATAAAGAGTAGAATGGTTAAGGGTTTAGGTGGTATAAAAAGATTTGGGATTATATCTCTTACTCTGAACTTAAGATATAGTCCTAGACTATCCAGCTCTATCGACTGAGGCTCCAATTAAATCAAAAACAACATTGAGAGAACATATGTAGAATTATGTTTGGGAAATATGATTCCCCAAAAATGTATATCAATGTTACCTTATCATTGGACTCAACAGGGAAAAGTACTGGTATCCCTACAGATCCTGTAGATGGTTTATAACATACTATGACAATCTATGAAGGTTATAAAATCCTAAAAGCTTTGAAAAGATTCTTCTCGCAGTAAGAGACCTTACTGATTACATATTCAGGACCCTCAAAGAAGATGACTACCACTTCAAGGCCACTGTCAAGAAGGAAAATGCTAGAGATATCAAAGAGAAGCTCTGCTAAGTTACTGCTGATTTCTAGGCAAAGCTCAAGAAAGCAGAAGGAGGAGGACTAGAAGAGTAATATGCATTGCTAAATAATACATTCTCCTTTATTTTGCATTATAAAACTGCAGCAACAACTATTGTTTTCTCTCTTTTTCTCCTTGTGGTAACCTCTCTGTTGAACTGCACTTCTTGGTAAAGTGTTCTCTTGCAAGTGTAGCCCTTCATTCACTACCAGAAAAAGGTAGGATGAAGACATAACCTTAATGTTCATTACTCAGAACTTAGACTCGCATTTCAGAATTCAGGATGAGAGCATGAAGAAGATCGAATAATTAGGAAACTGTTGAAAATGCTTTGTGAAGACTTATTTGAGATAAATGTGGTTACTGGTTGAAGTCAAGGTTATGTGTTGCCATGTTTGTGTGAGGGATGTTTGGGTTTCAATTGTTATATTCTCCATTGGGGTTTTGGGGTTTTGGGGTTTTGGGG